CAGGAATGATTAGGGGCTTGGGAGGCAAGAAAGGATGTGGTTATTTAACCTGGAGAAGAGAAGGCCAATTGGGGTTGATCGCAGCCTTCAACTCCCTGAAGGGCCATTGCAGAGAGGACAGAGACGGGCTCATCCCCATGGCCATAGGGGACGGGACTAGGACCAATGGCCTGGAGCTGCAGTGGGGGAAATGTAAGCTGGAGGCAAGGAGGAGCTTTCTGACCATGAGGGTGCTCAGGCATCAGAACAGGCCGTGGTGGAGTCTCCATCCTGGGAAACTTTCAAGAGCAGGACAGCCGGGTGGGAGAGTCAGGGCTGATCCTGCCTCGAGCAGGGGGCTGGACTGGATGGAATCGTTGTGATACATTGGGGAACACAAAAAAACTCAAATATATCAATCTAGACAAAGTCACAAACATATACAAGCACCCGATGTGGCCTTGAGAGGTCCCTGCCAGACCCACTTGCCTACTAAACATCTGTATTGCGGCCTCGATACTGCAAGCCCAGATGGCCGCTAGATACTCCTAGCTACCATTGGAGCAGCTGATGAAGTGAGCTTCAGCTCACAAAAGCTTGTGCCATATAAATAGATAGATAGATAATCTATATATATATATATTTGTGTGTGTGTCTGTGTGTGAGTGTGTGTGTGTGTATCTACTCTGGTTAGTCTATAAGATGCAAATCTTCCCTGCCTTCTACCTGACTTCAAATTGACACCGCAAACTACCCATTTTTTTCCTAGCTCCCAACCAGGCTCCTGGGCAGTTAGGCGGCTAAGCCCAATTACCCCAGTTAATTGCACCCTCCCGTCCTCCCTTTGAAATGTCAGAGAGATGAGACAGGGATTAGATGACAGCCATTCACCGGTGCGTGGGTGTTATAGGTCAGGAGCCATTTACTAGCCGAGCCCCCTGGCAAAGACCCTGGGGTTTTCACTGGGACAAACCCTCCATTTTTCTTGTCTGGCTGCTCAATGGGGGGGGGTTGTAATCCCAGGGTCGAGGCACCTGCCTGCCCGCCATGGGCAAACAGCTCCCGCCCTGAATCACGGGGCTTGTTACTCCTGCGACTGGCAGGTGTCATCACCGCACTAGGCCTGTTTCTTTACAAGCCAGGCGGGGCATGCATGTTCCCGGTGTTTGTCATGAGCTTCCCACCTCGGTGCCCATGGCTCTGCCTGCCACACCTGGGGAGTCATGTCCGTGGGCAGTCCAGGAAAGATGAGAAGCAGCTGTGGGCTGTCACCAGGCTGCAGGTTGGAGTCGGGCCCCAGGGTCGGTTAGCACTGCCCCAACTCGATGGAGACTGGGAGCAGATTTTCAAGCAGCTCGAGGACCCGTGGCCACGAGGCCTGACTCTCACCGGCCCCCAGCCCTGTGGGTCCCTGAGCTCCTGGGTCACAGTATCTCCTTCCCCCTCCCCAGCACTGTTCAGTCCAGAATGGGCAGCTGCAATAGTTTTTCCCAGAGGCTGCGATCGGTGGCCAGGACCCTGGGGTTGGATGTGCAGGGTTAGGGTTACGGTTAAGTTTAGAGTTAGGGTTACGGTTAGGCCAAACCCATGGCCAAATCCGTGGCATCTCCCTGGAGCACAGGTGCCCGGTGGGCCTGGCAAAGCAGGGTTTTGCCCACGTGCCCCTGCACACCCAACCCTGGGGTCCTGGCCACTGATTGCAGCCCCTGGGAAAAGCTATTGCAGCTGACCGTGCTGTACTGAATGGTGCTGGGGACGGGGAAGGTGACAGCATGACCCAAAAGCTGCCTGCACCTTGACCGGGAGTGACTCAGGCTGATCTGTCGATTGCCTGTGACAGGCCGGAAACTTGCTTTTGGGATCTCCAAGCGTTCCACAAATATTTATCAGGATGCCTCATGCCTTTGCTATGGTCGGGCGGTGCATGAGAGCCAGCCACACGTGGCCACCAGGGAACAGCCTGATGG